TTCCCTATCACCAGCTTCCTTGTCCCCTTCTGCCTTCTGGCCCTTGTCACTGGACTCCTGTACCTCGTTAGTCTCATTTGGTTTTACGGGACTGTCCACTCCCAGGCTGAATAGTGAACCTTGGAGGTAACTTCACCACTGAGCTAAAAGGGTGTTTGTCAGATATTTTTAAAAGATGCGTTATTATATTCCATCTCAAGTTGTTGGTAGACAGAACAGTTGCTTAGACTGTCTCATTCTCCAACTATATGGGATGACTGAGGAATTATTAGCAATTTGATTGGAGATATATTTGGGTCTTAAGAACTGCTGATTGACCATGGTCCAGTCCTGTGTTGTAAAATATAGACTATCAGGGATGGTTAGAGTAATTAGGTACCCTGAAAGGAAACTTGCCTTCTGAAATTCTGGTCATAAGTAGGACATGTAAAACAGAATAGTACTTATGAAAAGAATTACCATATATTACGTTCCTCCTATGTCCTGGCACTATTCTAAATGCACTACTATATACATTAGCTCTAATTCTGACAGGAACCCTACACCGGTACTGGTAATGTCCTCATTTTACAGATGAGGAACCGGGATCACAGTAGGAAGGTGATGGAGCCTTGGTTTGAACCCAGGTGTCTGACTCCAAAGTTCTTACCCTTTCGACTTTGTCACATGGCTTGGAATAAATAATGTGATCAAATAAAACATTTAACTGTTGACAAGCCTTAGAGAATTAACTGTACAGGTGAGCTGACAGATTTTGACAGAAAATTAATACAGAATTTCCCAGCTCAGTACCAGTGGTATGCAGAGAAAGTGAGTCAGTACTAGGATCCTATTAAGGTTCTTTCTGTTAACACATGTATACAAGCTTGGTATACATACAACTCCTGCTTGAGTGAACTTTGGGTATAGAAAGTGCCAGCTCCATGAGTTCCCTGAGTTTCATATGTAGAGAACAAAATGACATAACAAGTGTGAGGGCCAAAATATGACCCTTCTAGGGAGGAGGACTTGAGAGAAGGGGATAGAAAGAACTCTCTAACTGAAGACCATACAAGAAGGTCAGAAGTGATGTTTCTTCTCTATGCCACCCTCAAAGATTCTTAGTGCATTATTTTCTTATTAGATAAGGAGTTCTTAATGAAGATGTTAGTTCTTGGTAGTAATTTAAGAAGGTCAACTCAAGGTAAGGTGATAGTGGGCCATTGATCTACTGATTTTATGTCTTTAGCTTTCCTGTAAAGTTTGGATTCTCTTTTCTTATTTCACCCATTAACCAGAAACTTCCTACTTCCTAAAATTTCTGTTCGAAAATTATTGCTAAGAAATTTCAGATTCTAGCACCATAATTTTGCTCACCTTTTGGACAATTTGAATTAAGAAGAGAGCCTATAGAAGTTCTGTTAGAGGACTAAATACATATTAAAAAAAACGAAACTTGTTGCAGTCAAGTCGATTCCAACTCATAGCGACCCTATAGGACAGAGTAGAACTGCCTTATAGGGTTTCCAAAGAGCAGCTGGTGGATTCGAACTGCTGACCTTTTGGTTAGCAGCCTGAATACAAATATGAGTACAAACAGAGTTAACACAGGATGTTATAAAAACCATTGCAGTAGTACTTAGGTGATCTGGGTTCTGGCTCCTGCACTTGAGCAAGTCACTTAACTTTGTGGACCCTCTTTTCTAAAAGGGGGATGATAATATTATCTATCTTACCTGGCCCACCAGGCCATTGTATTTAATGTATGTGAAAGGGCTTTGAAAATTGAACACTAAAAATGTAAACGGGGACATGTCATAATGCGACTAACTTAGTTATTTAGGTTCACTTCTTGCTAGAAGAGAAAAGTTTGAGGGTAATTCTTTGAACCATTATTCAGTTTTTGGTTCAGGGAATATACATGCTTAGTGTCTTCCATTTGAAAAAAAGACTTGTTTTCTTTCCCTCTAAAGCAGTAGAATGACTAGGCATTTTCAAAGTTAATTTTGAGAGGTAAGGTTGACTGTGTGTAATGGCTGTCCCAAATGTATTTTTAATGCTTTTGGTGATAGCTAAGGATGTTGAACTTGCTTATCTTTTGATTTCAGACAGAGGATCCCAGTAAATGCAGTCCTCGGTTTTGGGAAGAGCTCTTCCTCATGAAGGTAAGACTTGGTGGCATCTCTGGATTTTCCTGGTAACTGATACTCTTCTCCTATAACTTCTCCTGTGTTCTAGGTACTACACTAAAAATGCATTAAGGCCCTTGCTGTTTCTTTGGCAGGTGAATTTAGAGTACTTAGAAGGCAAGTTGGAATCTCTCGATGGTGAGGAGTTAATGAAGATCAAGGACAATATTAATTGCTTATTTCAACACTGCATCCAGGCTCTGGGAGAGGAGCATCCAATTCGAGTTGTCAATGCATTGCAGGTACAAGACTGGGAGACTGGGGAAGTCTTGTTTAACAGGAGAAAGGAATTGTAAAGTGTGTTGGAACCTGAGGAAACTAGAATTGCCCTTAGGTATGAAGTTTCCTTCTTTTCTTCCCTCCCCTTTCCTTACTCCCTTCCCTCCCTCCCTTTTCTTCTTCTCTCCCTCCCTCCCCTTTCTTTTCCTTTGTCTTTTCTTTCTTCATTCTTTCATCAAATATTTATGCCACGTGTTTTTAGCTGTTGTCCTGGTTTAAAAAAATTGATGCTTATAGTAGTGGTCTTGTCCATTTATATAATTTGATCTAACACCAAGGTGGATTGTTTGATAGAATTCTCCCTCTTACTTGAGAAAAGGAAGTTATATAGAGAAAAACTAAGGCAAGGATGCTTAGTCTACAGCAAAATTCTGAAGAGATTCTTAGTACCATATTTTCCCACTAGATTAGGAGTTCTTAATCTGAGGTTTCAGGGGGTCCTTGTGCATATGTACAATATTTTATGTGCATATGACCATTTTTTTCTGGAGAGAGGGCTTTTATCAGATTCTCAAAGGGGTCTGTAACTCAAAAACCACTAAGAATCACTGTTCTTAGTGATAAGTGGCATCACCATGATGAAGATTCATTCAGCAACTATTTCTTGAGTGATTGTTATGTGCCAAGCATTGGGCTAGGTGGTGGGAATGCATTATAGGCTTTTATGGGTGAAGACTTGGATAGTTTCATTTAGTACTTTATTCCTAGGGTATAGAACAGTCTCTGGCATGTAGTTGGCACTGTAGAAGTAAATTCTTGTCAAATAAATGTTGAACAAAGCTTCTAAAGTTTACAATCTAGTGGATTCAGTATAGCCTATATTGGGCTGAGTACTTTGGGCAGTGACTGACAAGTTTAGAATATGAAGAATCCATGGCAGATAAAGGATTTTACTGGAATTTTTGTTAGATTGGGTTTAAGTTTCTAATTTAATGGTTGAACAGATTGCTTTGTGAGCCTCAGTTTTCTCATCTATAGAATGGGAATAACATTTACCTCTTGAGTTGATGTCCCAGAAAGATGGACCATGTTTATCCTGGGGCTTTGTTAACCTTTCACACAGTAAGTTCTGCATTGAGAGCATCACAGTGGTAGGGTCTCAATGACAGTTGGAAATTGTACTTCCAGTAATTGCAGTGGCCCAGTGTGAGGGCATGAATTGTAAACTGTTTTTAGTTCAGTGAAAATGAATTGACATGAAGCCACTCACTTGGTGACCCAAAAAATATACCAAAAAAAACCAAACCCATTGAAGTTGAGTCGATTCTGACTGTGGCGACCCTATGTGTGTCAGAGTAGAACTGTGCTCCATAGGGTTTCCAAGAAGTGTCTGATGGATTCGAACTGCTGACCTTTTGGTTAGCAGCTGAGCTCTTAACCACTACGCCACCAGGGTTTTTAAAAAAAAAAAAAGTATATATGTACATATATATATAGTACATTACTATTGTGTAAAAATATAGTACATTATTCTAATATTATAAATGTTTTTATAGTTAACACTTATTGAGCCTTAATAACAAAGTTCCTGGCGGTGTATTCCAGGGGCTGTTTGAGGCTGTTCAAGCGCTTTACAGCATTAACTCACAATCATAGCATCCCTATGAGTTGGTTGCTATTATTAATCCATCTCACTTTATAGATGAGAAAACTGAGGCACTGAAAAGTTAACTGATTTGCTCAAGGTCACACAGCTAGTAAGTAGGGGATGGGGATTGTAATGAATTTAAGATTTGAAGCAATTGGCTGTTATATAGGGACTTATATAACTTTTTAAATTCTTAAAAATATAATTACTAAAAATGGTAAACTATAATATAAATACTAAAATTAATTTTAGACAAAGGAACATGCCATTAACCCTATAACTCTAACTCAAGAACTGTTTTTAAATTTTGAATATCACCTTTTCGTCTTTGTCTGCAGTATGAATTTTAAAAAGGGGATGACAAAAAAATAAAAATAAAAAAGAGGACAGCAGGAGTCTCAGTTGCTGTTCCTCTGCTAATTTCTGAATTATGCGCATACTAAGACTGTGTTGGAGCGCAAAGTAACAGAAATTAAAATGTCAGCTGTGTAAGGGGGAGGTTCTGAGGTTACACTGTGAGGCTGCAGTGTCCTTCTAATTTTTAGATTTCCTCTCTGAAAAGAATTCTTTCTCTCGTCTCTGTAGACTTTGTGTGCACTCATTCGAGGAGTCCATCAGAAGAATAAGTCTACCTCTGGGTTTGACATTATCAACATGCTGATGGGCTTTGATAAGGCGGAGCTGTGCATGAAGGTGAGGCATAAGCTGCAGATGTACCTGCGAATGGCTGCTTCTGACAGCTGTTCATGGATACCATCTACAGTTAGATGCACTAAAAGATTTGGACTCAGAATTAGATGATTGAATTTAGCACCGAATTTGAATATTTTTATTTAGCAGGTTTGGCTTATCTGAATAGAGGGAAATTTTGAATTCAAATTTGAATTGAGGCTTCCTTTTCCTGCAGGATAAAGACTGAGCAGTTTTTATTATTTATATCATTTGATCATACAGTCTCAAAAACATTTATGAATTTAAATAAAATATAGCAAATTAATATACAAGGGTATCTTTAGTTCTAAACTTCTTAAGCTTTTTAATTTTTAACACAATGACTTTGAAACTCTTTTTAAAAAATTCTAGTTTTATTGATATGTATTTCATATATCATACAATTCATCCTTTTAAAGTGTGTGATTCCATTCATAGTTTTTAGTATATTCACCATTATCTAATTTCAGAACATTTTCATCACCCCAAAAAGAAAAACCTGTACCCATTAGCAGTCATTCCCCATTCCCTCTGCCCCTGGCAACCACTAATCTACTTTATGTCTCTCAATTTGCCTGTTCTGAATATCTTAGATAAATGGAATCATACAATATGTGGCCTTTTGTGTCTGACTGCTTTTACTTGACAAAATGTTTTTAAAGTTCATCCTTATTGTAGGATGTATTAATATTTCATTCCTTTTTATTATCAAATAATATTCAATTGCATGGCTGTATGTAGTACATTTTGTTTATCCATACATCCATTGATGGACATTTGGGTTGTTTCCACTTTTTTGGCTATCATAAATAATACTGCTGTTAACATTTGTGTATAAGTTTTTGTGTAGACATGTTTTCAGTTCTCTTGGGTATATACCTAGGAGTGGAATTGTTGGCTATGTGGTAACTCTTTTTAACATTTGAGGAACTGCCAAGCCATTTTCCAAAGTGGCTGCACGATCAGCAATGTATGAAGGTTCCAGTTTGTCTATATCCTCACCAAAACTTGTTATTGTCTTTTTCTTTTTTTTTAAATTTTAGCCATCCTAGTGGATGTGAAGTGGTATTTCATTGCGGTTTTGATTTGCATTTTCCTAATGACTAATGACGTTAAATACCTTCTTATGTGCTTATTGGCCATTTGTATATCTTTTTTGGGGAAATGTCTTTTCAAATCCTTTGCCCATTTTTGGATTGGACTCCCTTTTTATTGCTGAGTTGTAAGAGTTCTTTATATATTCTGGGTTTAAGTCCCTTATTAGATACATGATTTGCAGTGTTTGACACTATCTTGAATGACTGTTGTTCATAATGTGAACTTTGAAAAACGAACTAGTCTTCTGTCACTTAAATCTGTTTATATGCCAAAGAATCTTTATAGTGGTTAGGTTACCAAAACAAAGTTATGAATATACAATTACAAATACACAAAAATTTAGTACCTAATTGTTGTTAGTTGCCAACAGATCTAAGCATTGTAACAGAGCTCAGTGTTGCTTGGTCCTATGCCGTTTTCATTGTTGTGGCTATTGTGTCAGTCCATTGCATTGAGGGTTTTCCTCATTTTCACTGACCCTCTACTTTATCAACCATGATGTCCTTTTCTAGTGATCGGTCTTTCTTGATGACGTGTCCAAAGTAAGAGAGCCAAGGTCTCACCATCCTCACTTCTTTTTATGTTTTTTTTATTGTGCTTTAGTTTCTCCTTCAGTAATTTATACACAAAGTGTTCCGTGACATTGGTTGCAATCCCTGCAATGTGTTAGTTAGCACTCTCCCCATTTCCACCGAGTTTCCCTGTTTCCATTCTCCCGGTTTTCCTGCCCCTTCCTGCCTTCTCATCTTTGCTTTTGGACAAATGTTGCCTTTTTGGTCTCGTGTAGTTGATTGTTTTAAGGAGCATTTTCCTCATGTTTATTTTATGGGCCTGTTTGATATTCAACTGAAAGGTACTCTCTGGGAGTGGCTTCAGGTCCAAGTTAGAGGGGTAACTAAGAACCATAGTCTCGAGGGTTCTTCCAGTTTGTTTTATAGGCCTGTCTAATCTTTGTCTGAAAAGTAGGCTTCTGGAGTGGCTTCAGTTTTGAGTTAGCAAGGTGTCCGGTGGCCATAGTCTCGGGGGTTTCTCCAGTCTCAGTCAGACGAGTAAGTCTGGTCTTTTTTTGTGAATTTGAATTTTGTTCTACATTTTTTCCCATTCTGTACAGAACTCTCTGTTGAGATTCCTGTCAGAGCAGTCAGTGGTAGTAGCCAGGCACCATCTAGTTCTTCTGGGCTCAGGCTGGTGGAGACTGTGGTTCATGTGGTCCTTTAGTCCTGTGGGCTAATATTTTCCTTGTGTCTTTGGTTTTCTTCATTCTCCTTTGTTCCATACGGGATGGAACCAATAGATGTATCTTAGATGGCCACTCGCAAGCTTTTAAGACCCCAGATGCTACTTACCAAAGTAGGATGTAGAACGTTTTCTTTATGAACTATTTATGCCAATTGACCTAGATGTCTCCCGAGACCATGGTCCCCAGCCCTCAGCCTCAGCAACTCTGTCCCTCAAGGTGTTTGAATGCATCTAGAAAGCTTCTATGACTTTGCCTTGGTCAAGTTGTGCTGACTTCCCCTATGTTGGGGTGTTGTCTTTTTCTTCACCAAAGTTAACATTTGTTTGCTGTCTAGTTCATTTTGGTCTTCTCTTTCTTTCCTGTCTTTTTAATGACCTTTTACTTTTTTCATGTTTGATGCCCTTGATGTCTTCCCACAACTCATCTGGTCTTCAGTCATTAGTGTTCAGTGCATCAGATCTGTTTTTGAGACGGTCTCCAAGTTCAGGCGGGATGTATTCAGGGTCATACTTTGGCTCTTATGGACTTGCTTTGATTTTCTTCAACTTGAACTTGAACTTGCACATAGGCAATTGATGGTCTGTTCCATAGTCAGCCCCTGGCTTTGCCTTGACTGATAATATTGAGCTTCTCCGTCATTTCTTTCCACAGATGCATTACCAGGAGTTACCTTTACAGCCCATATACATGTCATGGTAAAATCCCAGACATCTCCTTCATTCTCATAGTTCTAACTACTACTTACATGCTAATGACTATTAAATCTATATCTTTAGCCTCAGCATTCCCCTGTGAGCCTCAGAGTTGTATACCTAAGTACTTGCTGAATATACTCACTCTTACATTTCATTGGTACCTCTGCCCTGACATATCTAAAATAGAACTCATTGTTTCCCCTGCATCTGTCCTTTATCATTCATTCGCTATCAGAATAGGGACATCTGTCTTCTCAGTCTCCTAAGCCAGAAACCTGGGAGGTATCCTTGACTCTTTTCTCTCCCTCATCTTTCATACAAGATGATCACCAAGTTCAGCTAACTTTACCTCGGCATATATTTCTCATGTCTGTGTTGTCTTTCCTTTTTTGCCCCATTATCTCTCACTTGAATTATTGTTGTAAGCTGCCTTCATTCGTTCTTTTGACAAACATTTGCTGGGCTTCTGGGTGCCAGGCACTGTGGTAGGCATTGGGGATACAGAGGCAAATAAGACACAGCAGTTGCCCTCAGTTGATAGACTTGTTGCATTGGTCTCCCCCCCCAGACTTTCCGTCTTTAAACCTGTCCTCCACACTGACACTAGAGTGATGTCTTAAGCTCAAATTTTTCCTGCTTAAGATTCTTCGTTAATTCACTTTCACTAACAGGATAAAGACCAAACTGCTTAGTTGCCCTTTTAAGACTTTTGCGATCTGCTGCCTATTTATTCTCCAGTCTCATCTCTCACCACTGTGCCTCACTCTTCATATGCCCAAAATAACAAACTGCTTGTATTCCAACCCCACACCCCGGACTGTTTCATTCCTCATGTGTTTTTTGATCATACTATTTGCCTATTTATAATCCCTTTCCTCCTCAAGTTTTGTTTAATTCCTGCTGATTCATTTGAGGGGTCCTGGAATAGGTGACTTTTGAGCTAATTTTGTTCCTCTCTCTATATTTCTAAGGAGCCCTGGTGGCACAGTGGTTAAAGTGCTTGGCTGCTGACTGATAGGTCGATGGTTCAAACCCAGCAGCCACTCCACAGGAGAAAGATGTGGCAGTCTGCTTCTGTAAAGATTATAGCCTTGGAAACCCTATGGGGCAGTTCTACTGTGTCCTGTAGGGTTGCGATGAGTCAGAATCAACTCGACGGTGGTGGGTTTGGTTTTTTGGTATGTACATTTCTGTCATAGTAACCATTGGATTGAAACTGCTTTATTTTTCTCTCCCACTAAACTAAAAGCACTTTGAAAGCGAGGGTCATGGCCTTGTTTTTTCTTATATTCTTTGAAAGCACAATATTTAGCATATAGTAGACTCTCACTACATATTTGTCGTGTTGAACTGAAGCAGCCTATTTTGAACCTTCAGCTTGACTTTCCAGCATGATAAATTCTTACTTTCCATCTATTCTGTTTCTTCATTTGGCATAGAATATTTCTTTTTCTTCTTCCCTCTTTTGTAGTGTCTAAGCGTTCTGTATTTTCATTAGTTTGGATCTCTCAGCTGGTTGTTAGTACAAGTGATAAACTCTAATCATGTTGTCAAGTGGAATTGACCAGGATGGGCAACAAGCTAGCTGTGTTGGTGCATATGGCCAGCGATAGCCAGTAGTAATATTGTCTTTTTGTTGTTTGTTCTTTGTGTCTGCATCAAGTGATATGCTTTCTCTGTCAAATAATGAAACTTATGTACAATCACTAACCATTATGTTTCCTTTTTTTAACCTTGGAGCAAAAGTTAATGCTTATCCAGAATCACTAAATACTAGCCTAAGTTTTACTTATTTCTACCTAAATGTCTTATTACATGTATTTTTTGTTTTAAGCCTCAAATTCTTTTTGAAAGAGTTTAAGTTATAAGTAAATAAAAGACAAAAAAAAACCAGTGTGGGCCCCAGTAAAAATTGTTTCCTTTTTTTACTTACTACATTTCAATTTAAGGTTTATATGGGGATAATAGGTTACATTCATTTGATAGAGTAGTGATTCTTTATTATTACGTGCAACTATTCTAAAGCATTTCCCCCAAATTAGCTAGACTTTGAAGTCTTCCTTTACTTTGTCTAATTTTTCAAGGGCTAGGGGAATGATTTAGTTGTTTCATTGTGTATTAGTCACATTATCCGGTGTCACGTAACCCAGAGTTGGACAGCGACAGTGTGTAGATGTTATTTGATATGGTTTAATACTTAACGGTTCTCTTTCTCAGAACTTGATGGAGAGTTTGGATTCACTGCTTTGTGCAGAAGGTTCTGAAAGTCTGAAGAGTTTATGTCTGAAACTTCTCCTTTGCTTAGTGACCGTAAGTGACCCATCCATGTTTCTTTGTCAAGGGTATTAATTGACCAGTTGCCCAATAAGGGGCAAACTTATTTGAATACTAGAGCTCAAAGTTAGAAGGGAAGAGAGAGAGAGACAAAAAAAAGTTCTATTGGGGCATTACATCACTCTCTTGTGTGTCTTGCTTCCTGGAAGTTGCTCTTTGGAGCAACTTTTAACCTGCACATTTAGCCTGCAGGAATGTGATATTTATCACTTTAGCTGTACCACTGCAGGAGAACTACTGTCCTCTGGATTGTCAGATTTGCCCTTCTTATCGGGCCTCATTTGGAAATGGTTCTCGTGATTCCGAGTGTTTTTTATTTCTTCTGGCTTTGATTTTTTGGTTAGAAGCTGGCCAGTAATTTCTCGTGGGAGGAGGGAGGGCGGGGTGTTGTTCGTTTACTTCAGGGGATTCCCTTTCCCTGCCACCACTTGAAGACCTCTGGATTCATAAACCTCTTCCTGTGCATTTGAGGAATGAAACTCAAGAAACTGTTAAGCAAATGCTTGTGTAGGGGTATGAGAGGAACAATGAGAAGTTCCAAGATGTAGAAAGTTTTAATTTGCTAATTTCCTCCCCTTCTAGTATGTCTATTCAGTTCTGGTGGCTTTGGTGTGCTTGTAAAAGACCTAGTAAGTATCTAGTATAATGTTTTAACCTTTCTGTTTCTCTTAGATGTTAGGGGAGGAGATATACTTGAAATATCAGAGTTTTTCAGTACAAACTTTGAAAAGCCTTTTATTGTATTCAGGTGACAGATAACATCAGTCAGAACACTATCCTGGAGTATGTAATGATCAACAGCATATTTGAAGCAATTTTACAGGTAGGTCAGTTCCCTTGTTGTCTCTTTCTCTTTTGGGTAAACCATCTCATCATATCTTCTCTGTCTGCATTCCCAGGAGCCAGGGTTTAGTACTAGTATATATTTCTGGTTCTTGTTACAGATACTCTCTCACCCCCCAAGTCGTAGGGAGCATGGGTATGATGCTGTTGTCCTCTTGGCATTGCTTGTGAACTACAGAAAGTATGAGGTGAGTGGACTCCTTGATGGACATTGTTATCTTTCTTAATTTTTCTAAATATGGCAACTCCTAGTAGACTTTGCCAATATAGGAGATGTGTTCTTGGCAAATGGTATGTGGATTTATTTTGATAAACCAAATCCTAAAAATACCATATTAAATGCATGGGACAGAGTATATAGCTGTTTAAAGGAATCTTATGGTACATCTTCTAATAAAGTGGATAAAACCAAACCAAACCAAACCCGTTGCTGTCAAGTCAATTCTGACTCATAGCGACCCTATAGGACAGAGTAGAACCATCCCATAGGGTTTCCAAGGAGTGGCTGGTGGATTCAAACTGCTGAGCTTTTGGTTAGCAGCCTGAGCTCTTAACCTGTGTGCCCCCAGGACTCTAATAAACTGAGCAAGTATCCCTTGATGCATTGGTTCCCAAACCCAGCTGATCATTAGAATCACCTTGGAACTTTTGAAAAAGAGATTGTTGGGCTGTACTATGGACACACTGAATCAGAACCTCTTGGGGGTGCAACCTTGGAATTTTACTTAATCTTTTTTTTTTAAAAAGGTCTTCTTTTGAGTCTGATGATTAGCCAGGAGCCAGGATTAGGAACCACTGTCCTAGTGCATCTGTTTTGAAAGATTGGATTTAATGTATCAGATTTCCTTAATGCAGTTCACTTGTATAAGTATCACTGTTGGTCTGGGAACTCTTGCTGATTTTAATGGAAAACTGAAGGTAGGGCCTTACCCATTATCAATTCTGGAATTCTCTTTGCCTCTGAATTAATCAGGGTACAGATTTATAGACTTTTGAGATAAAGAACACAACCCAGAGATTTATACTTGAGTTAGTGAATCTGCTTGATTCCCTTCAAAAGTCAAAATACATAGAAAAGGAAGGGGAACACCCAGGGAAGACCAGAGGCCTCAATGAGAATTGCTTTGGAGAAGTAGGGAGCATTTGGCATTGAGTCCTGGATATCAGGAGTACTTCTCTGAACCCAGAAGTCAGGAGCTGCATGGAAGCAACCTGACTTTCTTCATCTAAGTAGCATTGTTAAGAGAAATGAATCAGCTGGAGAGAGAATTTTCATTTGTGAGCTTTAGATCATCACTTAGAGACTTGATACGATTCCTAGCAGGCTTTATTCAGCCAGGTTAAAAGTGATGGGCAACATAAAATCTGGAGCTTATTCTGTTATTAGGAGGGATGTGGAAGAAGGAAATGCAGTGAGAAAGGACTATTTAAAGAGGAACTGGAATATGCGGAGCAATGTTAATGTGTTAACTAACCACTTTCACTGTCTTGGAGGAACTGATGAATGGTGTGTAGAGCTACTAATAAATATGTAATTTATCAGCAACACCTGTTTTACTGGTGATACGGAGGGGCTGGCATGGTAGCCATTTTAATCTCTGTAATGTGTAATAGCCTCTGGGGCCTTATTATAACAGCAAGAAAAATAGCTGAAGAAAAATGCTGAAGGTAGTTAAAGAGAGTTGAGTTATATATAACAGGAATGTGCCATCATCAGTAATGAATATTTTCAGAACATTCTGCTGGATGCAGGCCACTTTGAGGCAGTGGCTTGACTTCTTTGAATCAAACCCTGGCTCAGCCCAATAGGGCTCTTTGAAATGTCAGCCTGAAAAATTGGACATGGCCAAGGAACTGGAGAAAATCATATTTCTGAAGTGACGTATGTATCTGTAGTCTGTCAGAAGCCCCCAGAAGAATTAATATAGTGGGCAAGGGCAAGCTGGTGGGCATAATTTATTTAGGCTTTGCAGCTTTTGATGCAAGTCACTCACCAGAAACCATTAAGGAAGCCTGGTGACCATGGAGCAGGAAGGTTTTTGACAGGAGCATGAGGAATTCCAGATGAACATAGCAAAACCCAAAGCCGATGATTTTATGTAAACTAGTATTGAGGGTGTGTGTGCTGGGGAGAACAGTATTCTAGCTGACACCACTCTCAATCCTGTGACCAATGGGAAAGTTGTAACTTCCAGAAAGGTACAGAGGGCACCAGAGAGGCTTGGCACCTAGCTAAACACTGAGAAGGCAAATAATGTGTTAGACTTAAGGAATAGAAGTGATGGCAAAGATACCGTGTGGTAAATGTATAGTTCTTCCTCACTTGAAATAATGCATTCCATTTCAGTAATTTCATTTTGTGTATAGAGATAGAGGAGGCAAAAAAAAAAAAAAAAAAGTCAAGGAAGTGCAGTGAAAATGGTAAGTATGGTTTAGATCAAATAAAGGCAAAATAAAACAAGAAAAACCAAACCCATTGCCGTTGAGTTGATTCTGACTCATTACCAACCCTATAGGACAGAGTAGAACTGCCCCACAGGGTTTCTAAGGAATCTTTATGGGAGCAGACTGCCACGTCTTTCTCCTGCAGAGCAGCTGGTAGGTTCAAACCACTGACTTTTCGGTTAGCAGCCGAGTGCTTAACCACTGCACCACCAGAGCGCCTTCAAATGCAGCTGAGATCTTAACCACTGTGCCACCAGGGCTCCCAAATAAAGGTGGGGCCCTATTAATTAGAGTGATCATATGAAGGCCGAGTGAGTTTGTAACTCTGTCTAATGGGTTAAAGTAGATTGCCTCCAGTTTTAAAAAGTGACCAGCATAACAGGTGTATAGTGTTAAGGAAAATCAGTATATGGTAGAATAGACAATTTCATAGCATTAAGATCCTGGCTTTCTAGGCTGGCAAAGTCTTCTGAGGTGAAGTGACTCAGTCCCAACTGCTATTGCCCTGAGCATGAAGTTTCCCAGGAATTAACAAAATTATTATGTCCGGTTGCAAATTGTTCCTCTTCTTTTTTCTAAAGAACTTCCCTTTGAATGTGATGATAAGGTCAAAGGAGAAAAAATATAGCTACCAATTATTGGGCCCTGACCATATGCCAGATACTGTGCTAAGAATTTTACATGTATTATTTCATTTAAGCCTTGTAGAAGTCTCAAGGGAGAAAATATTATCCCCATTTTACAGATGAGGAAATTGAAGCTTTTTTGTATATGTGAGTGCTTGGTGAATGCCCGTACACAATGAGGGATTTACTGAAAATGGGGGAAATCAGCTGGCAAGATGGACTGAGCCTGTGTGTGAGGAGTGTCATTGTAGAGGGCCTTATAGAGGCGTTTTTGTTAACACCATTAAGAAGCTAATGGCTATCTTAACTAGGTCACACTCACCTTGAGTCCCTTCTCTTGTTTAACAGTCTGTGAATCCTTATATTGTGAAGCTGTCTATTGTGGATGATGAGGCCACACTCAATGTGAGTATGTGGGTCCCTGTATATTGTCTTACTTCCTGGCCCTGTATTCAGTGGACATTTAGAACAGGGAGCAGAGAGATACTATGCTGATTTCATTTGGCTATAAAGAGGGAATTGGAATTTCTTTTTAGAGCATCAGTGCTACTGTCTTACTGTCCTCTTATTGTCATGGAGGGATATTTGAGGCGATATTTGCTTGCTGACCATGATGAAATGGTTGATTATATTTCTTCATATTATAGTGTGCTGAGGACAGTAAATTCCATTTCCAGGAATAAGAAAGCTCAGATGAGTAAATGATGGGAGATTCCTTCTTGTAGAACTAGCCAGATGGTATTTATAGCCTGACTTGGTGAAGCTGAAACAGGGAGGATGATATACATCTGATACATATCCTTGAAAGTTTGGGAAATAACATCTGATTTCTGAATATAGGGAGGAAATGTCAAGTAAAGAAGATGACCAGGTGTCTGGGTTTACTCTGTTTCCATCCTGCCCTCTTTTATTTCTTCCATTTTCCCTTATGTAAAATATGCACACACGATTCATCCTTGTGGCCTTAATTGACCTTTGTTTTACACTTAGCAGGTTCCAGGGGGAAAGTTGATAAGTCAATTTAACATTTGCTGGAATTACTTCTCTTTATATTCCTATTTTCCTGTGGTCTGAAAGAGAGAGCTTGTCTATAGAGACCTTCATTTAGCATGGGATTCATTGCCACTTTTATTGTGGCTGTTTTGGAGACATATGAAGGCTTTTTGTCTGAAGATTCTAACTTCTCTTTTGAGGTGAAAATGATCCCAGTGAAACTGTCAGTGATTTGTGCTGGTCTGCTTCACCCCTTGTTATTCTATGTTAATTGTATCTGGGAACATTAATTAAGATAATTATATCAGAAAAGTCTTTCCAAAGAGGTTCCTTTTATTCTTTGACATTTCCCCTTTCTCAGAATTTCTGTTCTTGTCAGCTTTCCAGCAAAACTTCTTGAGCTTGGATTGTGGGGGTGTAATTAGTGTTTTCCTTGGCCTAGTCATAGCACCCTCCTTCCTCCCAAGGCTACTCACTTATTTCACCTGTGCTATCTTTTCTTTTTCTAGGGAATGGGGCTTGTGATTGCTCAGGCTTTATCTGAGTACAACAGGTAAGTCCACCTTTCCAGAAGGGAAGGGTCAAAGTTTCATTTGAATTGGCTGACTAGGATACAGGTTTGTTCCTAAAAGAGTATTCAGAGGTACAGCTGCTGGCAGTTTTTTTTTCTAGCTTGGCTTGATGGCTTTAGCAGGGGTTGTTTTTAACACCAGGGCAAAAGCAGCCACCAGGTTAGTGTCTATCTTTTCTTTAAGCAATTAGGCACACCCTTTTTTGCAGCCTTTACTGCAGAGCATGTTAACTGGTTTTCCCAGCATAAGCAGTCTCTTCCATTTAACCCAGTGTATCACACAAATGTCATTTTCTATGTGAAAAAGATTGTGAAGCACTGCTTTTTTGTACTCTTTAAACAAAAACACGAGGAGAAAGCATATTAGTTTTACAGATGCTTCTTTTTCAGCAGGAATCAACTTTAACTTCCCAGAATCCTTATCTATTCTGAGGGCTCTCTGTATTGATGCTTGCCTTTCCTCTTGCTGTGGATAGGGAATGATCTGATATTCAGTGAATGGAGACCAGAAATGGCCCTAATCCTGGCAAGGGACAGGCAGGACTGCTCTTGCTCCTCTCTGGACTTTCCTCACACACAATTTGGTGTTGGAATTTCAAATCTATTCCATCTCCACAAGTAGTTTAGCTCACAGATTTCCCTCCTCCTCCTTCAAAAACAAACAAGATTTTCACTGTTAACACCCTTAAAGTAATTTCACTGTCATACTTTTCAAGTAATAGTCTTTTTGGGAAATAACTAGATCAGCCATATGTTAGAGCAGTTTCACACTTGTGCAGCTTGCTTTCTAAGTCTCTCCCAAAGTAGCCAGGCATTTTGGTATACACTCTACCTCAAGAGCAGATGGATGCCTCTTAGCTTGCCTGAGAAACTGCAGAGGCTAGATTGTTATAATGCTTTTCTTTTTTTTGTTTTGCTGGAGTCAGTGAATTCTAAGAGTGCCCTGCCCTGATTACCTAGAATGCCAACAACAAAGGTATACTTGATATATAATACTAAAGTTGAATTTAATTCTTTTTGTTCAGGCAGTATAAAGACAAGGAAGAAGAACACCAGAGCGGTTTTTTCTCTGCTTTAACAAACATGGTAAATCTTACTTGTTTTTTTTTCCTGCCCAGAAATACATGAGGTCTGCAGGGGTAGGTAAATCTCTGCTCAGAAATTCAGATATTTGAGGCAATGGCATGATGAGGAGAGAGAGGCCGCTCAGAATAGATTTTATTCAGCGCCGTATCTTTGTTAGTGATTTCCAAAACTAAGTGAGATAGGGGAAAGGAGAACTTTGATTTCTCTGGGACTGATTTTTAAAAATTACTTTACTTATTTTTAAAGGTTGACAGAAGGTACACCTTAAGCCAGACTTTTGCCTCCTGAAGAGTTGACCCTGCTTGGGGACTGATCCTGTGGAACCCAGAGTAGGGTGGTTTGTGCCAGGTCCGCTCCGAGTGCCCCTCTGCTGTCTGCTGTGGCCGCTTGATTCCTCGTAGATGGTCCTGGGGTTGAGGGATTAGTGCAGTGGATCTGATTCACTACGCTAAAGCCAAGAGGTCCAAGGTTTAGGAAGTTTTTGGTTTTGTTTGCAAGACTCCAGACTGAGATTTCTCAGCCTCGGTACTATTGGCATTTTGGCCCAGATAATCTGGGACTATATTTTAAGAAATAAATCTAGGAGTGTGTCCTCAAATGTGGGCATATTCAGAATCTGTTTTCTTGGGCATTGGTATCCAAGTAATCAGCCCTAGGGCAAGACAATTTTTTAGTTCATTGCGAAAAAGAGGTAACCCTAACCCCACCACCAAAAAAAAAAAAAACGGCAGGTTTTTTCCACCCACTGTCTCTGCATTCTTCCCTTCTTACAGCGTACTCTCAGGAAAGGACCTGATAAACTCTTTAATTCTGAAGGATAAATGAGTAAGGTCTCTCACAGAGGCTGGAGCAGTATGGGTGCTGTTTTGGTGTTTGATTAAATGGATTAGAGATAATTATATTGCTCCCAGGGATCTTTGCCTTTTAGCCAAGGAGAAAAAGCTTTGTACTAAACAAATGAAGCTCCAGCTGTAGGGTTTTGGGCATCAGTGAACAGGTGGAAGAGGTATTTTTAGGGGGGTGGGCATCTTTCTCAGTGCCTCTGACATCACACATATTAGAGACAACCTGCTCCATTTACCTGTTCAGCTGCTGTTGACTAGGACACAAACTAAAAACTTTCTGATCTGATCAAGATGGCAAATGAGTCTAGCATAGACAGTTCTGGTCTGAAATGCAAATATTCCCCTGAGGACAGCTCTATGTAGGATGAAGTCATCCTGTTTTCTGTGACGTTCTTCGTGAATTAGTTTCTGATTTCAAATAAGCAACTTCCAGGAAAGATGCAGAATGATGAGAATGTCTAGGCTAACATTTACTCACTGTTAGTGGTGACTAAACTTACACATTGAAAATGAAGGCTGGGATTTTTAAAAGCCTTTTTAAAGCCCCTTTAAGATGATTTAGTAGGGTTTTCATGATTTCCTTTACTACTTATGATTCTTTTAAGATCTTAGGAGTGGGCTGGTTTTGGTGTGTGTGACTACTGGTCCAAAGTTCCAAGTTTCCTCTGTCTGGAAACAGCTTGTTTTTTGACTGATGAAGTTTTGATAGGCATGGTCTGCGCTCATCTCTCCCTGTTATAAGTCTGCAGTTCCTCTTTTCTTCCACAGGTGGGCAGCATGTTCATAGCAGATGCCCATGAGAAAATATCTGTACAGTAAGTGCCTGACATTCTTGTGCAGTGACTTGGACATTAGTATGGGTTCTCCAGCTGGATTTGAGATTGTGAAATGTTACCTCTTGCTAATCCTTAGCAGATTCAAACTTTTTTGGTGACTTATCAAATGTTTCTTGGGTTTTAAACAATAATGGACTCTAGAAATTTCTGCTTTGGTCTCACGTCTCTTGGGCCCCAAGAAACTGAAAAACTTCCCAGCTATCACTGGAGTGAAATGGAAGAGGACTGGGTACCTGAGCCAGTTAAAGACTTGACGGGTGGAAAAGTAAGAGGAAAGATAGTGAATGAAGTAGATAAAACTGATACTGAGGAATTGAAGTTAAGGCTTATTCTCCTCATCTGTACACTTTTTACATATACCCAAGAGGGAAATAAAGGGGAACATTAGAAACTCAAAGAGATTGGTAATGAGGAGTGAGGGTGAAATCTTATTTTGATGGTTATGCTGTTTTAACTCCTCTGCTGTAAGAGGCTCACCAATTTGTTTTCTTCTTTAGAACCAATGAGGCCATTCTTCTGGCGCTTTATGAAGCTGTTCATTTAAATCGCAATTTCATCACAGTGTTAGCCCAGGTTGGTTACATTAAAAACCCCAGTCCTTTTTCTCCCTGAATTTCATACAGATTCATTCCATAGAAAAGTCTACCCTGGCTGTGCCTATTTCAACCCTGTTTTGCATTGGTAAGTGGCAGTAACAAGGAGCTGTGTCAGTTGCCTTTACTTCATGCTATCCCCAAATACATATATTTCTATCTGGTGCTGTAGTGGTTCTGATAACACGCAAAGTTAATGTTTTTAACTAGTTTACGAGTTCCGTTAACCCAGACGAGGTGAGATTACTTCATTTTGTTTCACCAGAAATCCCCTGGTCTTATCTGCCTGTAAGGATTTTTATATCAGGCTTCTTGCTTTAAACCACTGTGGAATTACAGCTGGAGATAAACTAGGCCAAGTCACTTATCTTATTATCTCACTAATTTCCAGAGAAGAAAAGTGAAAAATATTGTGCCCAACTTAAGGTTAGCTGTTAACAGATAAAATGGTCTGCACACATTGAAAGCAGGAAGTCATAGACCACTGAGTGCCGCGCTTCCATGCGTAAGTCGTTGGCACAGAAAGGGACTAAAATAGGCGGAGAACTCAAGTGCTGTCCATGAAAGCTGTCTTAAAAAAATTGATAAAGTGATTTTATCTTAAAGCCAGACTGTTTAAAATATGTATGTAGGGTTCTTTTAAAAGAAAGTTTCCTTATCCTTTTTTCTCAAAGGGCAGATGCATATGGAATCCATTAATTGAGTTTTACCTTAAAAAATAATTTCAAACTTAAAAAGTGTGCTGGTTTGAGGTGTGCTTAGGAGGACACATGTTCGTTTTCATGACTGATAAAATAGGAGACTTTATTCACTATTTTCACCACATTTTTTGACTGCTTTCCAAATTCTATAACTGATTTTAAAGAAGGGGTGGGGAAGGTAAAGGACTGGTAAAGATGCTGGGGAGGAGACGGGAGATAAAAAGAGTTACCACTCAGCTTTATTCTCAATAGTTGATATGGCAGGGATTGCTAAGATGGACAGAAGAATCATATGTTTTGTTCCCCTGGGTGTCTCCCATATGTCTCTGCCTTCCTACCCCACACACTCTTGTCTTTTGGGGAATGGGAAGGATGCCAGCTGCATAGCTTTTTTAAATTTTTTAATTTTTTTAATAGCATTTATTAGCCAATTATGTGATCATCACAACAGCCTGTAGATGTGTGTTTTAGGTTGATCTGATGCAAGGCTTCCAACCGGTTCGGTCCATTCAACCCCCTACTGAGAATTTGCATTTCCACCCCAGATATACTGGATCAGAATCTACATTTTAACAAGGTCCGCAGGTGATTTTTTTTTTTTTTAATTTTATTGTGCTTTAGATGAAAGTTTACGGCACAAATTAGTGTCTCATTAAAAAGTTTACACACATATTGTTTTGTGACCTTGGTTGCAATCCCTGCAATATGACAGCGCTCTCCCCTTTTCCTTCTGGGTTCCCTGTTTCCTTTTGTCCAGTTTTCCTGTCCCTTCCTGCCTTCTTGTCTTGCTTTTGGGTAGGACTTGCCCATTTGGGCTCATATATTTGATTGAACTAAGAAGCACATTCCTTATTTGTGTTGTTTGTTTTATAGGCCTGTCTAATCTTTGTCTGAAAAGTGGGCTTCGGGAGTGGCTTCAGTTCTGAGTTAGCAGGGTGTTTGGTGGCCGTAGTCTTAGGGTTTCTCCAGTCTCTGTCAGACCATTAAGCCTGGTCTCTTCTGTCTCTATTGTGATTCCTGTCAGAACGGCCAGTGGTGGTAGCTGGGCACCATCTAGTTCTGGGCTCAGGCTGGTGGAGACTGTGGTTCATGTGGTCCTTTAGTCCTTTGGGCTAATATTTTCCTTGTGTCTTTGGTTTTCTTCATTCTCCTTTGTTCCGGACGGGATGGAAACAATAGATGTATCTTAGATGGCTGCTCGCAAGCTTTTAAGACCCCAGATGCTACTCACCAAAGTAGGATGCAGAACATTTTCTTTATGAACTATTTATGCCAGTTGACCTAGATGTTCACCGGGACCATGGTACCCAATCCTCAGCCTCAGCAGCTCATCCCTTAAGGTGTTTGGGTGTGTCTAGGAAGCTTCTATGACTTTGCCTTGGTCAAGTTGTGCTGATTTCCCCTGTATTACGTGTTGTCTTTCTCTTCACCAAAGTTAACACTTGTCTACTATCTAGTTAGTGACTTCCCCTCCCCATCTGTCCCCTTCATGATGACTATCAACTCAGGTGATTCTTACGTCAGAATCTACAGTTTAACAAGATCCCCAGGTGATTCTTATGTGTAAATAGGAATTTATACACAAATTTACGTATATATAAGAATCACCTGGGGATCTTGTTAAACTGTAGATTCTGATTCAGTATATCTGTGGGTGGAAAGGCAAATTCTCAACAGGGGGTTGAACCAGAGCAATCTGGTTCGAAGCCCTGCTCTGATGAGAGTAGTCCTTTCCCAGGTCCAGATAGGACTGCCAGTGCCCTCTTTCTTGTAGAATATTCCTGAATATTTCTTTACCCCAGTTTTTTATTTGTATGATTCTGCAGAAAAACTTATGTAATGGGAACCTAGTTATGTAAAGAAAACCAGCCCACAGAGCTTCTTATTAGAATTTAGCAAGCATCAACAGTAATCAGGTACTCATGGAAACTAAATATAGAGGCAGTCCCTCCTCAGTGAGCTTTCTGTCTAATTATGAGGTCAGGAAGACCAGTAAGGATATTAAGCAGAGGATACTCAGGGAGAACTGGATTTTCTGTTTTCTTTTGCTTCTTTTTTATCTTTTAGAGTCATCCAGAAATGGGCTTGGTGACAACCCCTGTCAGTCCTGCTCCAACAACCCCAGCCACACCACTTGGGACCACACCACCCTCCTCTGACGGTGAACCACTACCCATTTTGTTTTCTTGGTTAATATGAGTTTGGGTCATTCAGGGTGAGCATAGCTGTATTGAACAGAGAACACAGTTGTTAATTCTTTCATTTAAGAAATTTGTCTGAAGTACTTTCCTTCAGGACTCCTGAAGCTGCAAAGAAAACTTTGGAAAAGATAGTCAAGTGTTTTTCCCATAAGAAAGCTACGTAACCCCAGCTTATCCTACTCAGAGAATGGTCATAGAGTCATGGAGTGCTAGATCTGAAAGGGACCTCCCAGGTCAGTAACACCTAGCCTGCCAAACCCTCAGGGTACTTGTGAGGCTCTGATGAGGTATTTTATGAAAAATACCTCCCTGTGACCATAAAGCACTGAAATAAATGTAAGATAGTAATGTTATCTCATGTTGCCACTTTATAAACGAGGGAATTGAGGCCAGAGAAGTGAAACAGTTTGCCTAATGTTAGTGAGAGTTGAGACTATGACCTAAGACATGAATCAGGGCAGAAACAATGTTCTGTTCACTGATATATGCCTAGCATAGTGCCTGGCACAGTAATTACTTAGTACATATTTATTTAATCAATGAACAAGAAAGTGAAGCTCAGATTCACTCACTGTTATGCGTCTGTTGGTCTCTCCCAGTTGCAATTGACAGGCTTTAAGTTGTGTTATAATTAAGAGTTTGGTTGTTATTTAAGACTCCCCCCTGCCCCTCCTAAAAACAAAAAACATTTTCCCTTTATACATTTTATGGCTGGAACTTAAGAAAAAGGTAAAAGAAATTATGAATTTTCCCCAATAAACTTGTGTCACCTGAGGTGCTTCTCTTGTAAGCTGAGTGTGTTTGATGGAATACCTTAACCTAGAAATAATCTATGCTAATACTGGATGTTGTACCTTAAATGTTGGCCTCATTTTGGGTAAAGAAGTTCAAGAAATCTAACTCTGATTCTTTCTTTGTGCCTTCCTACTGTCTGTATGTGAAATCACCTTCTTTGTTCTGCTTTCTCTCTTTTAAATTTTCATATAGCAGCTGTGGCAGTAGGATTTCCAGGCAGAAAAAGCAATATTGGTTCGAAAGCATGGCAGGGAGGTGCCATTGATATTCAAGTCTGTGGTAGCAAATTGGAACTGTTTAGAATTGAAAGCCAAATTCCAAAATATCTTAATGAGAAAGAGCAAGTAGTGAAGATTGCCTACTTAACTCTGCTTATTCAGGTCACTGAAAAATCCAATGGAAAGACTGTTCTTTCTCTTTAAGGATGAAGCCTGCCTGGTTACCATGGATATCAAAAGCCATATATATATTTCTGAGTTCCATGTGATGTTGGGGTTTGGATGCTTCAGAGAACTGCTTTTCAAACTGTTCATTGTGAACGCTTCCACCCACACACTTGATTATGCAATGGCAAGATTTGTGCTTACTTACCTACAACCAGCAAGCTTTTATTTTTTTCTAGTGGGAATATCAAATCAACCCACTTTCAAATGACTCTCTCCCTTGACAAAGGTGGCTGGGAAAGATTAGGAAGCCAAAGATCAAGGAGTGACTCTTCCTTAGGAAGGAGATTTTAATTTGTGAAGGATTTTATTCTGTCCTATTTTGTTCTTTTTTTCTCTATCCTAATTCATTTTCTTTCTATAGAGGTCCTAAACACTGTAACTGTATTTTAAATTTTTGTTTTTTAATTATAGTGGTGCTCAGTAGCCCCGTTATATTTAAAGGCATGTCCCTGGAGCCATTATGTTTAAAAGCCAGCGGTTTGGCTGTAACATTTTTTCTCAGCTCAGACTTGACATTTGACAACTCAGCTTTGGCATGAGAGGACTTCATGGTAAACTAAAAATACATATACTTCTGTATTTCCACATATTATATAAGACAGTTTTCCAGTTATTGCTGAGTGTGAGAGGGAAAAAAGTCTCATTAACCAGTTAGATGCCTCTTCAGATTGGACAATGGAATGATTATGGGCTTTGAACTTCAGATAGGCTTGTGGTTTGAAATGACAGTCTCAGGTCATTAACCCGTAACATGAGTTAAAACCGTTTAGTATTTCAACATAAAAATATATTCGTCTTTTATTAGTTCTTGGGGGCTGAACTGTGGGAAAACAGCCAAGGGTTGGGCATGATAAATTCTTCTCATAAGGGTTTTTGCTGTGCTTGCTGTGTATTATGGATCCATAATATGCAGATATTTCCCATAGTTAATAAACGTTCTCTGCATACATTGTAATAACTCCAGAGGGATCCATTATTGTTATGAATACATATTATGAGTGATATTCCAAACTTAGCTGAGTCTCCACGGGTGAAAATACAGCGGAACCTTATAGATTCTTTGCTTGTCTGGGCGATCATGAGCCTCCTTTTGCTTATATATTGTCTTAGACAGTGTAAAAGCATTTGACAAAATGTCTAAGTCTAATTTAAAGCCTTAGAATCTTTTGGGAAATCCATATTAAGACTGTATTCTGTTGTGGGTCAGCCCTGATCTTGTCTCTTATTGTTCACTGGGTCTGTGCAGGGGGTTGGGGGAGTGGTTTTTTTTTTGGGAAACAACAGCTGAGCATACAAAACTCAGTTCCCAGACCGTCCCAATCAATAATGTTCACTCATTTTCAGTCTGATATTCCTTTTCAGATTCTCTTTCAGGTGCAGGCATTAAGAGGTAGAATTTGAATGTGTTCTACCTTAACTTTTTTCCCCCCATCTTGGGTACTTCCAACCTAAAGGCTTTTCTCAAGAGTGAGCAAGTTTTCTTCTTATTTGGAAGGAAACTTCATTCATTCTAAGCAGAATGCTCATCAAAGCAAGGCTTATTTATATTCAGTAAAGGTCTTTCCTCCTTTAAGTGCAAATTGAAGTGCCTTTAAGAAGAGCCCTGAACATTTCTAGGTTACTAGAGGCTGGAAATGAAATCAGCATACCCTTCCTAGGATGCTAGGAGAGAAGCATCATTCCTGGAGACTGGCCCTCTTAGATAGTACAGAAGGTCCTTGGGCTTAAGCTTGGGAGTAGGAAGGGTTTTAGAGGCCCAGGAGGAGTAGATAAAGGTTTTGTGATAGGCATTTGGTCCTCCCTCCACTGTGGAAAAAAGCTTATGTAGTGATTTTCTTGCCTGCTGGCAAATTGGCTATGTGGGTAGAAGTGTTAGATGGAATATGTTATAGGCTAAGTGCATTTCATCTGTTCTATTCCAGTTATAAGTTCTGTGGAACTCCCACTGGATGCAGATGTACAGACCAGTAATCTACTGATAACCTTTTTAAAGTATAGCTCGATTGTCATGCAGGACACCAAAGGTAAGGCATATCACTTTGGGGGCTCAGGAAGCAGGAGGTATAGTGGGCAGTTGCTTAGCTAGAATCAAAGTGTGGTGTTTATACTTTGAAGCTTTGACAGAATGTACCATTGGGGCCTCCTGTGAAGGGTGATGGTCCTGGCTGCTGGAAAACAGGATTTCTCACTGCCAGATGGCAATTAGGTGGTGTTGGGAAAACCTGGAGCTGGGGGGTAAGTGCTCAGAAATAGAACAGGAGAAAAATTGGTGTCTACAAAAATGAGCAAGTGTTCTTAGCAGAGCTGGGTAAGTAGATGCAAAAACTCTTACGTGTGGGAAGTGGGGGGATTAGCATGCTTCAGGGAATTCCCTTTTGAGGACGAGAACTGAAAGCATCAGCTTGTGGTGAGAATTAGAGAACTTGTACAGAGTACAGTAGGAAGAAGTGAGATTCAGAGGGACTGTGTTCCTTAACACTTAAAATAGAAGTGTCAATACCTATCCCAGAAATGCAGAGTAGACGTGGGAGAGGACTGGATGTTGGAAAAGTCTGAGTTTTTTCTGCCTGACTTCCTATTCTTCCTCTTTTTATGATTTTTCTGTGGTCCTTTAATTGATAGTAATGTAGTGGAATAGTTGGGCTAGGAGTGAGAAGGGATTGGGAGGAGACCTAACAAATTATATCCAGTATATATCCCAGTTTTAAGATTCCATGGAAGTAATATTTTTATTTCATGATGACACTGAGCTAGCATTTTTTTTATCCCCCCCTTCCCCCTTATTTTCTTTTAATGAGAAATTGAAAGGTTCATACAGTGATTGGACATATGCTTATTAACATTTTCCATATTTGATTTGTCTCTAAATTTCTTTCTGTGTGTTGTTGCTGTTGTTAATTTGGCCGAATCATTTTAGTCAGTTGCATGTACCACTGTACCTCACACCTAAGTATTTTAGCATGTATTTCCTAAAATTAAAGACATTTTCCTAGATACCCAGAATGCCATTATCATATCTAAGAAAATCAACAATAATTCTTGAATATCATGTAATATTCATTCCATATCCAGATTTCCCTAGTTGTCCCAAAAATTTTTTTTATAACTGATGTTTTTTAACTGCACCTAGCATTTTTTAAAGAATACAGAAGCATTTTTATTTTTTCATTTAATGATGCAACACAAATGCTGATGTATGTATTCACATATAACTTTTTCTCATATTTATAATCAAAAGATTGATGAATCCAGAGGTACTGCTGTGTGATGATTAAAGTTGTGTGGCAACTTGGCTGGGCCATGAATCTCAGTGGTTTGGCAGCTATGTAATGATGTAATCAATTCCATGATGAGATCTGCTATGAGCAACCAATCAGTTGAAAGGGAGTTTCCTTGGGGTGTAGCTTCCCTCCAGTATATAAATGGATATTCCAGCAGGGCTCTCACTCTGGATCCTGCATCTGGTTCATCACCACCTGACTTCCAGTTCTTGGGACTCATTTATCTCATTTCCCTGAGATAAATTTCTCTCTCTCTCTATATATATATTCACTGGTTTTGCTTCTCTAGAGAACCCAGCCTAAGACACTCAGTACCAGGAGTGGGATACTTCCTCAAGGAGAGTTGCTTATGATCAGCTGACTAAGAAAGAGAAAACTTGTGCCTGGTTTACAGATGGTTCTGTGCGATACTCATGTAGGCAGCACTCGAAAATGGACAGCAGCAGCACTAAAACCCCTTTCTGGGGCCTCAGTGAAGGACAGTGGTGAGGAGAAATCCTCCCAGTGGACAGAACTTTGAGCAGTGCACCTAGTTGTTCATTTTGCTTGGAAGGAGAAATGGCCAGATGTGTGATTATGTACTGATTCATGGGCTGTGGTCAGTGGTTTGGCTGGATGGTCAGGGACTTGGAAGGAACGTGATTGGAAAATGGGTGACAGGGTAGTATAAGGAAGAGTTAATGTGGATAGACCTCTCTGAATGGGCCAAAGAAGTGAAGATATTTGTGCCTTATGTGAATGCTCACCAAAGGGTGACCTCAGCAGAGGAGGATTTTAACAATCAAGTGAATAGGATGATACATTCCGTGGGAACTAGTCATCCTCTTTCCCCAGCCACTCCTGTCATTGCCCAATGGGCTCATGAACAAAGTGGCCATGGTGGCAGGGATGGAGATCATAGGTTCAGCAACATGGGACTTCCGTTCACCAAGGCCGACTTGGCTACAGCCACTGCTGAGTGCCAAATCTGCCAGTAGCAGAGACCAACACTGAGTTCCCGATATGGCACCATTCCTTGAGGTGATCAGCCAGCAACCTGGTAATAGGTTGATTCTATTCGACCACTTCCATCATGGGAAAGGGTGTGTTTTGTTCTTACTGGAGTAGACACTTACTCTATACAAACTTGTCTTTCTTGTATGCAGTGCCTCTACCAAAACTACCATCCATAGACTCACAGAATGCCTTATCTGTTGTCATGGTATCCCACATAGCATCGCCTCGGATCCAAGGACTCACTTCACAGCAAATGAAGTGTGGCCATAGGCCCGTGCTCATGGGATTCACTGGTCTTACCATGTTCCCCATCATCCTGAAGCAGCTGGCTTGATAGAACGATGGAATGGCTTTCTAAAGACACAATTACAGCACCAGCTAGGTGGCAGTACCTTGCAGGGTTGTGGCAGTGTTCTCCAGGAGGCTGTATATACTCTAAACCAGCATCCAATATATGGTACTGTTTCTCCCATAGCCAGGATTCATGAGTCCAGGAATTAAGAGGTAGAAATGGGAGTTGCACCACTCCCTATTACCCCGAGTGACCCACTTGTGAAATTTTTGCTTCCTGTCCCCGCGAACCTATGCTCTGTGGGTCTAGAGTTCCAAAGTGAGGAATGCTTCTGCCTGGAAACATATCACCGATTCCATTGAATTGGAAGTTAAGAATGCCACCTGGAAACTGTTGGCTCCTCATGGCTTCTCATGCTCTGGATCAACAGGCAAAGAAGGGAGTTACTGTATTGGCTGATGTGATTGATTCTGATTATGAAAGGTAATTGGATTGATATTACATAGTGGAGATAAAGAAGTGTATGTCTGGAATTCAGGAGATCCCTTAGGGCTTCTCTTAGTACTACCGTGCTGGGATTAAAGTCAATGGAAAACTACAGCAACCCAATTCCGACATGACTTCTAATGGCCCATACCCTTCAGGAATGAAGGTTTGGGTTTGGGTCACCCCACCAGACAAAGAACCACGACCATCTGAGGTGCTTGCTGAGGGTAAAAGGAATATGGAATGGGTGTCGGAAGAAGGTAGTTATAAATACCAGCTACAACCGTGTGACCAATTGCAGAAAATGAGGATTGTAATTGTTATATTTCTTTCTTGTATGTGTGCATCAAATATTTTTGTTTTCTTATAAAATATAAGATGTAGACGGGGTTAGTGCATTTTTAGTTGTATGCATGTTAATTGTATCATGTTAGGCACAAGTATGACTTTGTAATTGTCTTTTTTTAGAGATTGTGTATGGTTTAAGGAGGTGCCAAGTTGACAAGGGATGGACTGTGATGGTTAAGGTTGTGTATCAAGTTGGCTGGGCTGTGAATCTCAGTGGTTTGGCAGTTCTGATGTAGTTTGGCAGTTATGTAACGATGTAATTTGGCAGTTATAATGATGTAATCAGCTCCATGAGATCTGCTATGAGCAACCAGTTAATTAAAAGGGAGTTTCCTTTGGGGTGTGGCTTCCCTCCAGTATAGAAATGGATGTTCCAGCAAGGCTCTCCCTCTGGATCCTGCATCTGGCTCATCATCATCTGACTTCCAGTTCTTGGGACTTGAGCTAGCAGCTTAGCTGCTGATCTTAGGATTCGTCAGCCTCTGCAGCCTGTGAGCCAGCAGCCTGCCATCTGACCTGCTGATCTTGGGTTTATCATCCCCGTTAGCTACATGAGTCAAGAGAAGCCTCCAGCCTGACGCTTGGGCCACAGATTTGGGACTTGTCAGCATCTGCAACCCCGTGAGCCATTTCCTTGAGATAAATCTCTCTATACGTATATATGTATACGCTCACTGGTTTCACTTCTCTAGAGAACTCAACCTAAGGCATGCTATAATCACTATTTGGAACACACTATTATTAGTATTTCAATAGTTTATTCCAACCCATGTCTTTTTTTATACTCTTAAAACATCTTCATTATGTTGTTTGGTGAGATAGACTCACAGGAAGATGGTGGTACCCAAGGGCATTCCAACTTTTAGCCAGTCAGATTTGCTGTTCAGTGGTTCTCAAATGTAGAACTTTGTGCTGAAAGGCTGCTACAGAGCTGGGCCAGGGCCAGCAGCCAGGAGAAGGGGCTCAGCAACACTGATGGTGCCATTTTGCTGGCTACCTAGCATTTTGATGAACATTTTTTATTAGCACTTTATTTGGTACCTACAGGTTGATCCAGTGGGCTTCTCTCATTTAGAAGGATTTTTTTTTCCTAATTACAAAAATAATTGAAATATTATGCATTAAAAATTAAAACATACTGGCAATGGTTTACTTAGAAAGTGAAAGTCCTTTGTCATTAAGCTGCATAAAGTTAATCACTCTTAACAATTTGATGTATATTCTTCCTTTGTAACTCCTTTGGAAGAAGAAAGGACCCTGGTGGCACAGTGCTTAAGAGGTTGGCTGCTAACTGAAAATTTGGTGATTTGAACCCACCAGCCGCTCTGTGGGAGAAAGATGTGACAATTTGCTTCTGTAAAGATTACAGCCTCGGAAGCTCTGTAGGGCAGTTCTGCTCTGTCCTGTAGGGTCACTATGAGTCAGAATTGACTCGATGGCAGTGGATTTGGTTTTGGTTGGTTGGAAGAAGAATCTTTACATCTTATTTTAGGAACTATGTGTTCTGTCTGCTCAATAGCAGAAGTTTGAGTTCTTAAATTATGATCCATGGACAAGCTTCAGATTCTAAGATAACTGAAAAAACAGTTCCACTGTAGAGGCAAAATTGCTAAACATACTGTTGTTTTTGCCATCTTACTTTCCATGAGGAGAGACTAATCTCTTGATAGGTGCTTTATTCCTGAGGGGTAAGGTGCTTTATTCCTGAGGGGTAAGGTATATGTTAGAAGGATCTGATTTGCCAAGTGGGGTAGGTAGGTTTCTGATATGAGAGTTTTCAGGAATTCCAGAATGCAGCTAAAAAGCAAGAGCTATGTAGCAGGGGAATACCAGCATTTGGGGGCTTTGGAAACATTAGAACAGAAAGATAGGAAAGCTAAATAAAGGATAAATATGGGGAATGAAAGATTGCCAGAGCTGAAAGTAGCCTGGGTGGGCAGAGTCTAAGCCTTGTTACACTCAGACATACTGCATTAGCTCTTGGAGACTTCTGCCTTGCATTGTTTGACCCTTTTCTTCGCTCATGTTCTGTGAGTGTGCTATTTCAAGAAAGAACTCTATACAGGGACAAGATAGATGTAAGTAGTCCATGTCACTAACTCCTAACATAGAACAGTCCATTGGGAGCTACAGAGATGGCTGAACCTCTGAGACTTGGCAAGTGAGATCTGGCAGGCAAGGATAATAAGACTCTTGTGTATCAGAGTTTCCTGAGGCCATTGCTCCCCTTTATGGAAATGGGTAACATTTTTTTTTTTCTCTAGAAATATTGCAGCAACCACGGAGTCATAGATGTGACCCAGAAAATGAACTTTTAGCTTTGCTTGATATAACACAGTAAATTGAGGCCCTTGAAACTCATGTGTAGTGTTAATGGTTACATAAGCCTCTTTGTCCTGGTCGCTTAACCATCCATATAATGGAAGGCAAAATTGAGGGCTGATTGGGTGGACTCAGACAATGTCTCTAAACTCAGGCTGGGGCAGGTCTTTGCCCACAGGCAGCCTAAATGTAACAAGGGCAAGATTGAGTATGGCAAAGAGTTAATTTCAGAAACGGCTCTTGTGTGGCTTCATTGACGCAGCTCTCTTCTTGTCTGTTAGGCTCTTAACTTGCTGCATGCCTTGGATCTCATTATGTTTTTAGGAGCAATGAAAGCAACTTTTTCTTGGCTCTGCTTTTTCCTGCTCAGGATATTATCTTTTTCTTCTTTATTATGTATCCATCATTTGATACCTATAGAAAGATACTTTTAATAGGTGTGTATAGTAAGTTTATATAAAGTTTTTATAGTAAGTATAATAAATAGCATAAGTTATGAAGTATAATGAAATGAACATATGTGAACCTACCACCCAACTTCAAAAAATAGAACATTATTAATGCTGTTGAAGCTCCCTTTGTGTCCCCTTCCAAGTCACCTGTCTTCTCTATTTTCCAGAATTTTGTGTTTATCATTCCTTTGATTTGGCACTGCTTTTAAAGCTTTTTTTCTTAGGTTCTTCTGACTTTGGTGTTGTCACCTTAAAGGAGTTTATGCTCAACCTTTAAAAAAAAGTATTAGGCAAAAATTTAAAAATGTATGTATATATATTTATGCATAGACTTAAAAGTTGATACACTGAAGTCTTAACAGTTTTGCTATCTGGGTGGTATGATTAAAATAGGTTTTCATTGTCTTTTTGTGCTTTTCCGAATTAAAAACATGTTTGTAATGAAATGTACCTTACTTTTCAGAAACAATTTTCTTCTGGAAATTTTTTTGTTTCTTAAAGTGGAGAGATAGCTGCAGGCTTTTCTGTGGGAGTTGCTCATCAGCTTTTGGGAAAAGGAAAGTTAGTGCCAGAGAAACTCTGTGGCCATGGATAGGTAGAATCTAATTTTGCCTAGGCAGGGGCATTTTCTTGCTCTTCTGACTGCCTAGGGGCTCTGACGTAAAAAAGTCGGATAGGACACTCCCTATAGCTTACTACCTCATTGCACCTTTTTTTTGTTTGTTTGTTTTAGACAAATTCTTTCTTTTTTTTTTTTTGATTGTACTTTAGATGAAGGTTTAAAGAACAGACTAGCTTCTCATTAAACAGTTAGTACACTTATTGTTTTGTGACATTGGTTACCAACCCCAGAACATGTCAACACTCTCCCTTTTCGACCTTGGGTTCTTTATTACCAGCCTTTCAGCCCCCTCCTGCCTTCTAGTCCTTGCCCCTAGGCTGGTGTGCCCATTTATTCTCGTTTTGTTTTATAGACCTGTCTAATCTTTGTCGTTACTCTTTTTGCAGTGTCTGTAGGGTTGCTATGAGTCGAAATAGACTTGATGGCAACGGTTTTTTTTTTTGTTTGTTTGTTTGTTTTTATCTCTGAGAAGAGGCAAATTATTTCTGGACTGCAACCTTCCCACCACCACTTCCCCACAACACAAACACCCCATTCTGATTGTCAAGTTTTAGTTGATAGATTCTATCTTTGATGAAGAAGCAGGTCAATGTCGGGATGAGTACTACTGGCTAACTTCTACAGCACTCTACTCTGTTAATAGGTGTTTTTTTCCTGGAACGGACCTCAACCTGGACCTTGTCAAATCTAATCTGAAATGTCATGAGCGATTTGTCTGTTTTGGATATACTGGCATGGCCCTCTTACCTCCACTCCCACCCACTCACCCATAGAGTTCCTGGAAAGTAAATAAGCTTTGATGGTTTTGGTAATTGGCAGTGATAGAGTAGCTTTTTCTTGGCCTTTTGTTTGCGTGCTTAGAGCCCAGCTATTGAGGTTGCCTTTTTCCTTTTTTAATAACTAGAGTGTGAATTCTGGGAGACCAGGGACCTTGTCTGTTCAGTGCTATATCTCTAGCACCTATGATAGTGCCTGCCATATAGTTGATTCTAAGTAAGTATTTGTTGAGGGAATAACTTCGGCAGAAGAAAAATGATTAAGAGTTCACGGCTTTCCAGGTCATAAGTAATGTGCACAGTGCAGGCAGAAGCATAGGCTGGACCCTGGTCTCCAGTTAGAAGTTCTAATTTCTCTCTGATTCCATTGCTGTCAACAGTTACGAAACGGTTCTAGACTTTGTAGTAGGTGGGTATAGATGGTGGTGCTTATAGCTGGTGGATGGGGTGGGGTGGGAAAGGGAATGGACCTGATCATTTAGAAGCAAAGGGCTGGTCTGAAAGTGATTTGAGCCATGACAATAGGAACCATTTCAAGGATTAGGTGGCTCTCAAGAAGCTGGTCAGCTCTTCATCAGACTACCAGGATACTTAAGGATAAAATTTTGTGGGAAATTCTTTTGCCTAGAAAGGGAGCAAGAAGTACTCTAGCAGTCCGTTGATTTTCATTCATGAATTTTGTGGGGAGAGAAAGTTAGAATATTCTTTTTTATGATGCACCTCTGTATTCTCTATAGAAACATGGTCTGCATGATTTACAAAGAAGAATATATTTTTTTCTTTACAGATGAGCACCGGCTTCACAGTGGCAAACTCTGTTTGATTATCCTTACATGTATTGCAGAGGTAGGTCTTCTGATATTAGCTAATGTCTTATCGAGTTCTATCTTTTCCTGCCATTTTTCCCCAGTTCCTGTCTGTTGACTTCACGGTCCTAAATCTTGGGAGAGAAGCTCTTCCCCCTTTGTATTGTCTGTTTCCTCTCACAAGAATATAAGCTCTGACACGGAGGCTTTGTCTCCTTCACCACTGTATTCTCAGTGCTTGGCACATAGTAGAGACTCAGTATTTATCATATCACAATTCATTATTAATTCGTCTAACAACTGCTGTAATCAAGAAGGAGCCCTGGTGGCGCAGTGGTTAAGAGTTCAGGCTGCTAACCAAAAGGTTGGCAGTTCGAATCCACCCACTGCTCTTTGGAAACTCTGTGGGGCAGTTCTTCTCTGTCCTATAGGGTCTCTGTGAGCCGGAATCGACTCGACAGCAGTGGTTTGGTTTCGGTTTTTATAATCAAGAACTGGAAGATTTGGCTCTTAAAAGTTTTAAACAAGACATTTACACCTCTTTAGGAAAAAAACCCTGCCCTTTGAAGTTGTTCATGTTAGGTCTTTTGCATTTAGCAAATTAAAAAAAAAGGAGCTTAGGTTTCCTGTGGGGGAGTGGAGAGAAAACCAGAGAGGGGAGTCATAAACTCTGTAAAGTTGGGCTAGTTGCATTTTGGTAAAGAACAAGAGCTACAGGGGGAGAAAAAGAGGTGCTTTGGTTTTGTAGGGTAGCACCTTTGGCTGGTTTAATTAAATTGTCTCACCCTGGATCTTGTTGGAATGCAAGTGTGACAGAACTTGGGACAGTTTAGAGCTGACGTTATAGCTTCAACCTCTCCTTTCACCGTTTCTTACTCTCCTCTTTTCTCTCTTAAGAAAAATAGTAAAGGTGGTCCATATAGAGTCTAGATCTCTCTCAGTCTTTTCCCTTTTATGTTCTCTGAAAAGATGACCTACTTTTCACAAGGTTAGGGGTAGCTAGTTATAGAAGAGCTACTTATTAGAAGTGGGCCTAGTGTAATTGCTTTTCAAAAATCTTTCTAAGAAGATCTTTTAAAGAAGTTGTTTTACATAAATTGTAATAGTTCCTAGTAATTGGAGTCTGTAGGCATGTCACATCTTCACAAAAGTGTTGGGAAAGGGCCAAGGGATGTTTATTACCAATCCATGGTGAGAGGTTTTTGATTTTCCATCAGTTTTCAGCAAAGTCAGGGATAAACAGGGTCTTGCCTGCTGCAATGTAGCCTGTGTAGCAGTTCTTTCCCGCTGTGCTGAGCCCATTCCCAGCAGAACACAGACCTTTCTTATTCATAGAGCCTCATGTGGAGCCTGCACACACATCCTGCAGCCCCTATAAAAACCTTCAAGCTGTCACAAACAGAGCTGGCACCTCAGGCAGATGGGTAGGAAGAGAAAATAGGAAAACAGACTCCTCTCAGCCTTTGCCTCAAGTCCCTGTGTCTTAATTTTTATCATTGTAATTTGCTTAGAGATTTTTGACCAGTTAGATACACTGAGAAATTACATCCAAATAAAATCTCCTGGCTTAAGTAAATTTGACATAAAAGCTCTAGGCACATCCCGGTAGCTTTCTAACTGATCTTGAAAGTAGTTCTTAAAGCCGAAGGATTTGTAGGAGATGTCATAGTTTCCAAACTGAGTTTCCTAACTGTAGCTCTCACTCCTTACTTTTTCTGTTTTTATTAGGATCAGTATGCCAATGCATTTTTGCATGATGACAACATGAATTTTCGAGTAAACTTACATAGAATGGTAGGTGTGACTTTTGCTTCTTGTTTTTTTTTTAGAGGAAATTGTGTGTGTGTGTGTGTGTGTGTGTGTGTGTGTGTGTGTGTATGTTGGCAGGGGCTGAGGGGAGGATAAAATTGATTCTGCTAGAACAAATGTCAGTGGAAAAGTTGTGCCACGGGGCTCTTGCTTGACTTTGCTGTTTAATAGACCCATGCCTGTTATTGAGATTTTTTTCTGTGTCACGAAGCTGTTTCTTACTCAAGAGAGGATGGAAAGATCCACAACTATATAGTCATGACAGAAATATTGGAAATGTATCTGTAACATAGGTTTCAGTAAGAAGATGGGTCTAAGCCTTTTGTCTTCAAAAGGTAGTATGATTTTTTATTGGTTAAGACTAGATACTACTTTGATATATTCATCTGCGAGGTAGAGGAAATAGAATATGAAGATTTAGGGAATTTCCTAAAGCCTGGAGATATGTTCAAAAATAGCATATTGAAGTTTAGGTTTGAAAGTTTCTTTTGTTTTTTGCTCCTGCTACTGTTGGCTGCCTCCACACCTGCTGCCATCACCTCCTCCTCTTTTTTTCCTTAATTATTTTATTATCAAAGAAAAAATACCAGTGTATCTCTCTTATAGTTAGTAATGTCACTTGTATAGATAAAATCTAAGTAAAAACAACAGCTTTCCTTTGATAGTATGCTTTAGTACCCTTTGGGGCTGTTGTCTTGCTATGAATTATGTTTTTGTCACAGGCCTGCATTGATAACTGAGAAGCATTTACAAGTTCTCCCTGCCCCACCCCACCCCCACCACTAGAAAAAAAGAAAAGGTAGCATCTCTGTAGTAGTCATTTTATTTGCATGAGAAGAATGATAACGAGCCATTGTGTGACAGTTAAGGTGTCTACTAATTTCTTTTTTTGTGAATGAAGCCTATGAGACACAGGAAGAAGGCAGCAGACAAGAATCTTCCCTGCCGACCTTTAGTGTGTGCAGTACTGGGTGAGTGAGTATCATCAAAATTGTCATTTTTCCAAGATAGTTACAGTTTTTCATGATTAAGATGAGGGATAAATCTTGGTTGATGTGCTTCTTCCTTCAAGAAGAAGTTACTAGCTATGTTTCTTCTCTGGCCTAAGAAACTATGCTTATTGTTACGTTTGTTAAAACAACTCCAGTGAATAAAAGTGGTCAATACAAAGGCATTGTTGTTCAAAGAAAAAGATCTTTCCAGAGAGATAAATGTCTATGACTAAGTTTGATGCATAATTTAAATTTGTAAAACATGTCATTCTTGATCAAGATTTCAGATTCTTTCCTCCTTTTCTTTGTCCAGATTGATGTGTTAGCTGGTCAGGAGGCTTGAAGTTCAAGGTTCAGACATACAAACTTCCTCTGAGTAAATAAAGCTTCGATGAGGCTGACAGAGCCGACAGATAGAAGGCTATATCTTGGCTAATTTTATCTGCCCATAATTCTGCATTTTTCTCAGGGGAATTATCTGAACTTTTAATCGCATTTCACTTGGATATTCAGCCCTGGTAATTAAGACTAAATAATAAGCCTCTCCTGACCCAGAACCCCACAGACCTTCAGTCAGTATCTGTCAAACTGAGTGTGATAGTGAGATGAGGTAGACTGACATAGCTTTAGAACCGAGTCTCTGGTCACACAGATGTGATCTGTAATTTTTACCTCATAGCTCTGTTCTTAGAGTATGATTTCCCTCTAGTATTTTACATAAGTGCCATAGTATGAAGTATGTGTAAAATGAAATCTTCCTTGAATCTAAGTTTATTGGCAGGTCAAGGTATTCTTAGGGAAGTAAGAGGGCAAACTAATTTTCCTGTTACTTTTCAGGTGGCAAGTGGTGAACAGTGTTGCAAAAAGAGCCTTATATAAAATAAATTTAACTGTGTGTGAATACAGGTGTGGTTAGTGGATGCCATTCAACATGAGTGCAAGGTGTACTCAGAGGCTTTTTTCTAACTCAGTTCTGATTGATCTAATTTTTCTCCTTTCCCCTTTCAGACTTGATGGTAGAGTTTATTGTAACACACATGATGAAGGAGTTTCCTATGGATCTCTACGTGTAAGTAACATGGTCCGTTCAATGTGTGAAAATCTATTTTATAGAATTGAGTGACATAAAATTTTACAGTCACACAAGATTTCTTTATATATGTCACTTCAAGAAAGATACATTTGTGTGTGTGGGGAAGTGTCAGGGAACAATGTATGGCCTGAATTTGTATATCTTTACAGAAGGGGGAAAAGTACAAATTACAGGGGGAAAAGTACAAATTACAGTTTGGATTCTGTACCTATCTTCAGTATCGCTTTTATAAATACTGCATGAAGAGCAGGACTGATGTATTGAAGCAGTAATCATGGGGAGCCATTGTAATCCAAAGATATAGCATACCAGTAGACCACTTAGTCATCCTGGGCTTTGGTGTCACAGTAGTCAGCAGTACTTAGAAGGTAAGGTGAGGTCAGAGAGCTTCTGGTCCATTCTTAGCCTCCATGGTCCTAGCAGCCTAGCTAGAACCTGGCTAACTGGATAGACTATGAATATAGTGGCCTGGCTGGAAGATTCCTGTCTCCTAAGGAGATCTGAGTGTCCATCACAATTTTTTACAGAGAGTAGAAATAGAGGCAACTGAAAATTGTCATATTTTAATAAAGGTTAAGTATTTAGGCTTTCTCGCCTCTTTGACATTTCTGTATTCATCTTATCTTTAATGCTAATGCTCAAGAACAGCTGCATCACATTAGTGTGATCCCAGACATGTACATTATCTTTATTCCTTAAAAAGCATCTAAATTGAGTCTGACAACAGAACTGGTACCTCCATTTTTGTTTTGGCAAGAGGGCAGTTTGGTGCACAGCAAACTCAGCATACTTCATTCCAATGCCAGGCTGGGGGTCTAGGGAGGTGTCAAGTGTTTTACTCTGAACAAGAGTAGGCCTCCAGCTTTTTAGGTGGCTTGTAGACTATATAATCTTAGTTTTCTAGGTCGGAAATAATGATATAAATTTTAATTTTAGGTAAGTAGGTTACACTTTGCATTTTTTCATATCTTTTGGGTGTTACAGAAGTTAAGTCTGATCCTTATTTCAAATTCAAAGACCATGAAAAGCTGCTTTTTATATCACTTATCTGATCAGATTTATTTTTACTACAAACTGATTTCTGGCTTAATTATCTTATGTTCTAGTATTAGGATATACTCTTTGTTTTGTAGTATATTACTGTAGTCTCAGTTTTCTCATTGTACAAGGAAGGAAACTGAGGCTCAGAAGATTAAGTGCCTTGCCCAGGATTATTCTGTTAGTAAGCATCATTGCCTGGACTTGAGCCCAAATCTCCTTCTTATGAATCCTAGGCTATTACCATCCTTTCTCAGGTGAATTAATTATCTATTGCTGCATAACAGATTACCCCAAAACTTAGTGGTTTAAAGCAAACATTTATTATTTCACAGTTTCTGTGGGTCAGGAATTCAGAATTAGCTTAGCTGGGTGGTTTTGGCTCATGGTCTTTCCTGAGGCTGCAATCATGGTGTTAACTGGGGCTGCAGGCATCTGAGGCTTGACTAGGGCTGGAGAATCTGCTTCCAAGCTCACTTAACACGGTTATTGACAGACATCAGTTCCTTGCAACACGGGCCTCTCCATAGCGTTGCTCAACATGGCAGCTGGCTTCCCCCAAAGCAAATAATCTTAAGAGGTAAAGAGAGGAAGAGTGAGAGTGCAAGATGGAAACCATAGACTTTTATAATCTAATCTCAAGTGACACACCATTGCTTCTCTTATGTTCTATTCGTCACACAGGCAACCCTGATACAGTATGGGAAGGGACTACACAAGGTTGTGACTACTAGGAGGTGTGAGGATCATTGGGGACCCTCTTGGAGGCTGGCTGCCACAGTTGCACACCTAGCAAGTTGTATAACAAGATTCAAACTTAAGTCTCTTTGACCCCAGAGCTTTGCTCTTAACCATAACTGTGATAAGTGACAAAGGGAAGATTTGTATAAAGTGCTGTTGGAGTGCAGGAGTGACTAATGTTGACTAGCGGATCAGAGAAGATATCACAGGAGGTGGCATTTGACCTGAGTCATGAAGAAACAGTAGAAGTTTCCATATAGAAGAGTGGGAGGCCAGCATGTTCAAAGGCTTGGAGGCTTGTAAGTGTGGCATGTTTGGAGAATAGAATGTAATTTAGGGGGGCTGGAGTATACAGTACATGAAGAAATAGTAGAAGAGTAGAGAAAAAGATTGCTTGAGATTAAGTAGATAATGGAGAGCATGTGAAGGTGGGGATGACGTGATAAGATTCTGTGTTCAGGAAGTACTATAGAGTTACAGGTATGTATCTGTCCACCCAGACACCCCCGTTCCTAGCCAGTGAACATGCAGTACATGTTTTAAAAATCCTCCTTCTGTAGTTCCCAAGTTTACCCTCAAAAGAGTTTTTGTATTGCCTTGCTTTCTCAGTTGCTTTTTCTACCTGCTCCCTAATTGAATGTCCTGAGGTTGGGGAAGATGGAGAAGATAATGAGGCATCAAGCTGACAGAGGCTGGGCAGAAGGTCCCACCCTCAGGCTGAATTCACTTTCTTCATGACTACCCATGGGGACATTTCCAGATCTTCCTCCCCCTACTTCCAACTCTGTTTCTAGTTTTTGGTATTTGGAGCATCAAATCCTTTTTAGGTGAACTTATCTGCTCCCAGCTGGGCATCAGGCCAGGTTGCTGCTTGCACGTCTCATTATGTACTGCTTTTCAACAGCATACAGCAGAATAAGAAATGGAAAGCAAAATGAATTTCTACCATTTCAGATAAGTTTATAATCCTCCTGCTGAAATATGAAGAAATATGGAGTGTAGAAAGACTTAATACTCAAAGCCAGAATCTGGGTCAGAAATGAAACAATTTTATATCTGTGTATGAGTGCTGTAGGTAAAGTAATGATGGGGAAAGGTGCTTATCCCCCCCCCCCCCAAAAAAAAAAAAAAGTCTTGCCTGGAGCACTAACAGGTAGGAAAACCCAACCAACTAATTTCCACTCTTGGCTGTACTTCTTTCTTTGTATGGCCAGGTGCCACCCCTACCACTGCTGCAGAATTTGGGAGTGAGGAGAAATAGTCTCTGGGAATAGCAAACTCTCCTTTAAGTTACTTTTCTATGGAAAATTTGGACTCCATGTGAGATATTTTGAAACCTGTGGACAGGCACCAAAGATAGTGGGCCCTACAAGAAGATTTCAGGAGAAGGTGGAACTGCCATGTATTAAAAGTAGGAAATCACTGCATGCATAAAAAACCACCAAGAAGCAGTCAGTTTGGAGATACTCAGCCAGTATATGCCAGTGTAAAAACTCAAACCCGTTGCCATTGAGTCGATTCCGACTCATAGCAACCCTGTAGGATAGGAGTAGAACTGCCCCTTAGGGTTTCCAAGGAGGAGCTGGTGGATTCAAACTGCCAACCTTTTGGTTAGGAGCCAAACTCTTAACCAGTGCGCCAGCAGTATGTATATGTATGTATATATATTTTATTGTTTTAGGTAAAAGTTTACAGTGCAAATTAGTTTCTCATTCAAAAATTTATACACAAATTGTTTTGTGACGTTGGTTGTAATCCCCGCAATGTGTCGGCACTCTCCCACTTTCCCTTTACATCCCGAGTTCCTCATGTCCGTTCTTCCAGTTTTCTTATCCCTTCCTGCCATCTCATCTTTGCTTTTAGGCAGGTGTTGCCCATTATTTTTAAGGCCATGCTAGTTGTTAAATTTTTCATTCCCCTTGGTAAATAGTATAACTTATTGAGACCCCGAGGCTAATTATGTTACCTGTTGGGTGACTGCAGAGGCAGGAGCAGAGCCTAGGAGCAATGCTGGAGTTGATATGGTTAGCCTTTGAGTGAACCACAGGGCAGTGGCAGCAGGGATGAGGGTTGCAGCTGGTATCTCACTGCTGCTGTAAAGTGATTCAGTGTTGATGGGATGGCATTGCCAATAGGAGCCAAGGTGCAGACTGTCCAGATCCAGGCCAGGTAGGAGGTGCTGGCATCCAGGAATGTGTGGTGGTGGTGGTGGTGGTGCATGGACAGCACCCAGCCACTCTTGCTGGCTACAACAAAGCGCCAGGGACCTGAAAAAAAAAAAAGAACCCTCTGCCGCACAGTTGATTCCGACTCATAGCGGCCCTATAGGACAGAGTAGAACTGCCCCATACGGTTTCCAAGTAGCAGCTAGTAGATTCAAACTGCAATTTAGTGGGGAAGTTGATAGAAGAATTTGCAGATTCCTAAGTCAAGTCATGGCTCAAACAAGGGCATTCATTTAGCTAATAACAACTGCTGTGGACAGAAGATTATACCACAATTTCTAAAAATCAACAAATGATTTGTAAACTGAGTGATTTGCATTATAATTTATATCACTTGGTAAACAGTTTTGTTACAGTTTAGTTTACTTAGAGAATAAAAGAGATTACTTAAATGATTTTGATGTATATATTGATTAATATATTAATTTATATTACTGTATGGTGTATAAAATATTTTAGTATCACTCCTGAAGATACAGAAGTCTTTTGGACTCAGCATAATATTTTCAAGGTTCATTCATGTTGTAGCATGTATCAGAACTTCATTTTTCTTTATGGCTGAATACCATTGCATTGTATGTGTGTGTATATATATATATCACATTTTATTTATCTACTCTTCTGTTGATGGACACTTTTTTTCCTTTTGTGTCTTCCTTATTTCACTCATCATGAGGTTTTCAAGGTTCATCCATGCTGTAGCATGTATCAGAACTTAATTTCTTTTATGATATGGAAGTCATTTAAGAGAGATCTATTTACATAGCCCTCTCATTTAAAATCCCATCCGAGAGGCTCCTACAAGACCACTTAGAGCTACAGAAAGTGAGAAGAACTCAGAGATATGACTAATGGGTCAAGGAGTATAGGCTAGCAAGGTAGCAATGCAGGCCTATTACTGGGAATATTCTGAAAACTTTCAGAAAAGAGTAACTTTAGGACTTTAACTTATAAATTTAGTTCGGTCTATTT